TTAGTTATCATCTACATAATGGTTGCCAAGGTACCTACTTGAGTACCAATTTCTTTTTATTACAACTAAAACCGGGCTTAGAAAGGCATTTAGATAGCTCGCTATCTCTACATAGGAATAAAAAGTATCTATATGTATAACTTCGAACATCAAAACAAAATCCACACGCACACATCGAGCGAGCTTCAAGTAGCTTTCCATCAGCGGAATAGTGTTCATAACATTGATTTCTACAAAGTTTGTCGACGAACACGGTTTTGAGCGAGGACGGAGAGAGGCAGGGGTGCGGGGTGCAGGGAATCTAAATTAGATTTCTCCCGGGGGGTGCTTTCCCGGGACCTTGAGGCGGGCCACGCCACGGAATCAGCTGTTCTCCCGGTTGTTTCACCTTATTGATACCGTAGTTAAATATCTACGTCGCACGTGTTACGGATTGTGTACTTGTCAATATTTAGTTTGTTTGGCTGCTCAACACTTTGAAATTGTTGCTCTTGTGTATGTGGTAAAATCGTCGCTGTACATCTATATTTAAGATGCAAGATCTTGTTTGCATTGCTTCTATACGATGTCTTAATTCAACTTAGTTAACCTTTAGTTTTTAGACTTAAGTATTAGCACCTTCATGCATTGAAAAAAAAAAAAATAGAAGGTAGGTTGCTATGAACGACTCCTCTTAAACAAGATAATGCAGAGTTGTGATAAAATCATAATTAGATGCAAATGTACCGTCTCTACTTTAATCCAGTTTTTAGGTATTCGCCATTCAATTTGAATTCACAACGAAACCGGTTCGCATTGTATACGAAACATTCTTTCCATTTCCCAACATTTATTTCATTTAATAACACCATCCTATTTATATTGTATATTTCGGCGCCTACTTAAAATATAAAAAAAACCTATTCATAAAACATTAAAAGGAATGAATAAAAATCCTCGCCTACGTTGGGTTCGCATTTATAAGCCCTAAATTATTGGCTGGCAACCCGGGTTGCTAAGCGACGGCCGCCCCCGGAGGACGCGCCCTCCCAACGCAATTAATTTCGAACCCTCCAGGAATATAGCCGACCTTGCTTGCCCTGCTGATTTCATTTCGACGGTTATTTTGTGCGTCCGAATGGCTATAGATGAATTATTTTTCATTATTTTGTGACATGTTATTTGTAGGGACCACCTATGTTCAATTAGGGTTACAAGGGAGCAGCGAAAGGATTTTCGTTTTTCATTTCAAGTTTTCGAGCGTTTTTCATTTCGTGATGGAATTTGGACGATATGACGCCTGGTGATAAGCGATGAAGCATATCTAGCCTTAAGCAACCTATTCACTCGGGCCTTGAAACCCCTCGGGGAAGACAGACTCCAGCAAAGAATTCCACTCCTTGGGGGTTCTGATTATAAAAATGGAGGTGAACCGCTTCGTATGTGAGAACAGTAGAGAAGGCACTTCCATTCTATTACTTTCATTCACGTTTCCAATAATGAATGATTGGTTCAATTGACGTCGAAAAATCAAACCCATATTTTTAATGAGAACGTAATGAATGAAACAGATTACTTATTATAAAAATAATTTGCTACCTACCTATCTACAAATAAACCATCTTGTTCAAAACATTTCATATTTTCAAGAGCTTCAATCCCACTCAGTACCAAAACAAATTACCTACAGATAACAAATAATATTTTGAATTTCTCCTTAACGTTGCTTATTCGAATTCCATAGATACAAAAGAGAAAACGAGGAAATCATTGCGATATTAATATTTGATTAAAATTGTTTCATTTTGGTAAAACTACATAAATATCCTGGATACCTTTAGGCAATTGTTTTATAACCCTAATATATTAAAAGGCGCGGCGTAATAGACGTCATAGAGGTTAGATATAAGGATTTATGTACTATACGTAGGTACTGTTCTTTGGTTTCAGCGACCTAGGTTTCGTCTTCTATACTAACTATGCTGTATCCTAATTATTATAAAGAGGTAAAATTTGTAAGTTTGTATGTAGGGGGTAATCTTTGGAACTGCTGGTCGGATGACCAAAAATCTTTCACTGATAGATAGCTACAATGTTCCTGTATGCTACGTGCTATAAAACATCGCGCTACGATCAAATGGTGCCGAGCAGCGGTTTTGAATATTTTGAATTTGTTAAACCCACTGTATAAGTATTTTGCCCAAGTATTCAGCCCATGTGCACAGTACACAGTGGTTTCGTGCTAATCAGTCATTACAAACTCCAATCGGATATAGATAAACAAGTTAAATGGATAATGACGTTTTATTTCTTGCGTAGGTACCAAACACGTGGTTAGAAAATGTTTTATAAAACTCTATTCGAGTTCGAATTACAATAGTGTAACGATTCGCGCCCCGAATATTTTAATATTCATGGAAAAAGCGAAAAAAACGTGTGTCGCCAGCATAAAAAGTTTGCAGTGCTTGCATATTTACCGCGGCTAATACACCAGATATTGAATAATGCAAATTCGCCGCATAATTGCAGATAGCCGGCAAGGAAAACGTCATTAACCGAGAGCGATGCCTTATACAGGAAAAGTTTGTTTTGCATCGTATACAGTCGCGCACATGTGTGTGTGGTGCGCACTTTCGTTTTGCGCGTGTGTTTGTAAGTGCGCAACGCCCTCATGCGCCCGCGCTCGCCAGACGCTCACGTTATCTCGCATTCCACAGATACTATACACCTACATTGTAGCCACCCACACATACATACATAATTGTAACCCAAATAGATATAGCCAGTCCGTTTTGACATTTATTCGTTTGTCGTGCTCTTGTTCGTCAAGGGCGTGCTTCAGAATCTCGGAGGCTTGGTGCACGTACTAGATTAAAATGGTCATGCAATGCATGTTTTATCGTTTTCATCTCTACATATTCTGGCTTGATGCCAGCCGTTGCTTTGTTGAGAGGAACTGCGCTTATTAAAGCACATGGCTAGTTTGTTTTGCTAGGTAGATACTTACACTTATAGTACATCACATCTGCATACGTGTCTGCTTTACGTTATTGACTCGGAGATAAGATCAAATATTCTTGGATTTGCTCTACGTATCTCGTTTGTAATAATATCTTAGTTATCCACAGAACAGATTTAAAATATCAACTGTTTTAAACAGAGGATCACGGATTAAAAGTCATCAAGTGCATGATTCTTTTAGCAAAACCTGAAACAGGAGTTTTTTTTTATAATTGGATTGGTATCTTACATTGCGGCACTGTTTGAAAGACGAATTTTATCATCAAATTTTTAAATTATTTAGTTTTTAATGTTTGGCACTGCTGCTTATTGGACGTCTACGTTCATTGTGATTATTTCGACGATAGTAATAGTAACATAGGGAATGTCCACTGGACACTTGCTATTTCTTTATAACGTTATTTACTCATTTTGATGACTTTCTGGAAGTTATTTGGTCGATTTTTCTGTAGGGGTCAGAAACTCAGAACATCTACCGAATCGGAACAGACCAGAATTTCTTTTTTAAGTCATGTTTCTCGCAATTGAAATTCTTGATTCTCTTGAGTTCTGAGGTTATTTATTTATATTTTATTGTTACCGTAAGTTAGCTTGAGGATAACATAATGTTCAGTTTTATTTAAAATACATTTAGATAAAATTTTGGATACAATCGTGTCTTTTACGACGGTTTAAATTAGTTTGCTTTATATTTGGAAAAGATAAGACTGTTTTAACAGATAACGGTACGGTTTTACGCAACTGAACAGTGAGTAGTAGGTAAAGAAGAAAGAAAAAAAAAACACATTTATTCGAGGTAGTGGAAGTTTTTCTTATAAAGCTTTGTGTGTCCCCTAAACAATTGTCTCCAGATGCTTTTTAAAACTTTGAAATATCTATCATCTTTAAAACTCTTTCATAATTACTCTTTGTTATGTTCAACTTAAAAATGTAGAAGCCATCTTGTTGCTCTTACAAGAAATGTCTCTTATTAGAGACCTCATTTTTGTGAGGGGGATATCATTCAATGACTTCTCTCGACCAAGGTGAGGTGAGAGTGAGTGTCAGACACTAACTGACTAAAAAACCCAGTTCCTTCGTCTGCCCTAGCTTATTAGGGACCTCTTATAAGTCCAAATTATGGTTCCAACATCCCACTTTATTGAAATGTTGTCTTTTTGCCATTTATAACTGCCATAGTTGTGCCACGTAGATCCTAGAGGTTTTAATCAGAATTCGAAAAATTACGTCACCACGCCTCTTTAGTTCGCTAAAACATAAAAATAACAGAACTGTTTCCTAAATTTGGTTCATTTGAAGTATCATATTGTGGTAGTCGAATAAAGTGCAATGCCAAACTCGTCTGGCATAGTAAAAAATTCCTACCTAAAATCGATTTCTTTTCCGTTCTTTTCGAGTAATGACGTAGGCATGAAACTTGAAATATGTATATCTAATATGGTTATATCTATCTGAAAATACCTCAAGATAAGTAGGTACTAGTATAATAAATTATATTTTTGCACGTATCAAATTTATCATCCCAAGCTCATCAATCAGATATGGATAATGTTATTCAGATAAGAGTTCAATGTTGCTATGCTAGAATATTGTCGTCTCACACGACTAATTTGCACATGGTAACACCTATTTCCCCTATGGGGCATGAATCGTGACATTCTTTTCTTAATTCGTAACTGGTAATACTGCATTGCATCTCTTTTTTTATGCAAATTAATGGATTTTGAATTGATTGGTTTGGTTCCACAAGATTCAAAATGTTTCACACTGAATGTCAAATTTTCAAGAAAACATCGAATTTTCTTGTATAAATGTGAAATACTAATGTAAAGTTAACATCTAACTCAATCATAGAGATGCCAATAAAAAAAAACCTAAAATTAGAAGTGTGCCACAAGGGTTAGTCGGGTAAAGGTGGTCCATATAGCAATGTATCGGTTTAAAATTCACTGTTATTATATTGCATACCAGCGCTAATGTTTTTATTTTATTTGTTGCAGGTACAACGAGTTCAAAATCGCTCATGTCACTGATCCCTCGGCGCAGAGGTAACGCATGTTCACGTCTATCTGTCTATCTCTAAGACTTGAACTTTCGACAAATTATACTTTAAACATTGCATAGACACGTTACCAACACCTTGTAACTCACTAATTATATGTTTTCTCTATTTATCACCTTTTTTCTTATAATTTTTAACGCCATTAAAAACTTTATTTTTTTTTGCTTTTCGTCTATTTATACCTATAATAGCACACTACATTATTCGTAGCGACTTCATCGATGTATTTGTATAGTTTGGCTTCAAGAGGTCACTGGACACTCCGAACACATTATCGATAGCTTCAATCATTCTTTTGTCAAAGTTGAATCGAACACTTTCAACACGTTCGACATCCGCAGCACGACTGCCTCGAAATCCATTCAACAGGCCGACAGGATGTGGGCGGGGCGTGCGGGACGCGGCGTCATTGGGCGAACGCGCGACTCGCAGTGATGGCCGCCGTCGCATTCAACCAATGAGCGGCGCGCGAGCTGAACGCGCGTCCGTCCGGCGAACGTGCGACGTTGCCAGCTTTTACCAGAAAAAAAAATACCAGATTCGACCTTCTTAGGACCCCCGGTTTTTTTTTGTTTGGCCGCGTTATCATTCGGGAACGTGTATTGAGGTCCTTATCCGTTTGTGAGATGGTTCTGCGCAGGTGGATGTGTTGTGTTGTGTTATAGTTTATTATGGTGTGGTCCACGCAAACTGGCGAAGTGTTGATTGACATCGTAACGAGGTACTGTACATAGACATACTACATACATAATTCGTTATATTTTTATTGTGTACATAAAACACGGCTGAGTCATGTGACATTACAATTACCTCATTCACCAAACTGCGTGAGCACTATCACGGCTAGTGACTGTTTATCGTTTAATTCGATGTTTTGAATAAATAAAGTATGTGATATCGTTTATTTGGTGTAGCTACGTAGGTATCGAAGGTTATTGACGTGGTTTCACAATCTCATCTTGTGAGCTGGGGTCTGGTGGTCGTGTTGCATGCTTGCAACTACATAGAGGTCATTGACACTACATCTGTCATATTGACATGAACTATAGACGCACTCATCCTTGTTGTAATCTTGTTAGTCTGTGTAGGTACTGTTATCACCTAGCTTGCACTGATTATCTTACTATACCAGTATCCTACATAACTTTAAGTATACCTACATGCCTATATACCTACATAAACATACATTTGTATAGCTAGTTATCGTAACACAACCTCACCTCTGAGTGATAGGTTTTCCTTTTAGCCATGTTTCACAAACACCCATTAAGATTCAGTTAAGACTAATTGGCGATGCATTTGATGTATGCACTTTTCGTACGAAATATGTTAGTTAGCAGATACTTGTCAGAAATGCTGGAACAGAGCCTAAAGGGATGTAGGGTCAGAAATTTCTTGTTTAATGGTTTCTTTATATAACCTAGACTTTGGTTATGTGTCACCAAGGTACAGGCTGTTCCTATTTTGGGGTGACCACTGACGAATTAGTACCTAATCTGTTTATTGTTTATGCCCATTTGAAACAGGATTTTATTTTCGTAAATATTGACGTCATCAACTTCAGCTTATTAGCCAACTGCTAAGCAAAGGCCTCTTCTCACACGGAGAAGGTTTGAACATTGAACCAGGCTTGCTCAAAACGGTTAGGTTATATCGAATTTATAATTTGAAATTAAAAGGCCAGGTATCCTTCACCGATTGTCATTAGCGTCTAAATAAACTGAGAAAGTTAATATTACTTGGAAAAGGTCTCGTTGGTGCATGACATCATCACATTTTGTCTGTACGTATGTGGTTCGTGTATGTATCATACTTCAATACGAAACATATGGACAACGCTCCGAGTAAATATTCCAAGTAAAGGCTTATTTGACTTACAAAGATAGAACATCAAAGTAACGACTAACTGAACGGTTTACTTCCTTACGCTTTTATGTTACAGTAACGAGATCAAAGTTCAACTGTAGCTTAGGATGTTAGGTTTTCCAGGAACACTTGGTTCTTGATGTATTATAGTTCCAACCAATTGGGTACCTAGGTAATTACATGGCATTGCAACTTCTCAATGCAATTAAAACACGATACCTACTTACATACTTGGCATCAAAAAAAATACAATTTGTAAATGCAATTACACTATCGTCATCGTCATATCATCGAGTAACAAGAATATACTTACTTTGTTTTTTTGAGGTCTGAAAATCGACAATTGACCTCTCTCACTCAGGCTAAAGCGAGAGGTAGTGCCTACTAGTGTGTAGTGTCTTACTGACTAAAAACCACCTCGTAACACCTGGCAAAAAATGCTATAAAAAACACATTCTGTATTATTTTTTCTATGGAAATTCAACCAAAACTGCCATCTATCGACATTCGTCAAAATTGACTGACTATAAAAGAAATATGAAATGCTCAGTTGATAAATAAACTTATTTTGATCATATTGGAAACATTATTTAATCTGTGGTCAATATGGCTGGGACATTAACATTATACAAAGATATAGGTTAGTGGATGACGTCATCGCTCTGCTCTCGTTTATCACATGCACAGAGAAATCATTGTCTCGAGATGAGCAGAGCTCTAGGTATTTAAAAGGTAGACGAAATTGTATTTTTAGTACGTTTGAGATTTTTATATAGTTTTTATTTTAGGTTATAAAATGATACAATTCTTTGACCTATTTAGTAAGGTTTTTAAATAGGTAGAATGTTTTTAAATGTCTAGATTTTATTAACGTAAAGTTCTGTTAAGTCTGATGTTTTTATGACCTATCCTTATTGTAGTAAATAATACATTTTATGGTATATATTGCATTATATAGGTGCGGACTTAATGATCGATAGATTTGTGTATGCATAGGGTTCTTATATTGATAGTTCGCGCGTAAATTTGCAAGTTTAAGGCTCGAAATATTAACACAAGTATCAATTATAAAACGAACATAATTTATAGATATCTGAAATCAGTTTTGGAAGGCGACCTTGGGCGTAAAACTTCGATTACCAGATTTGCTAATTATTATTATTCTTTATTCAGTAAATATGTGTGCCATCCGTGCGAGATAACGCCATAGTTACCACGATCCGGTGGCTTAACTTATCTGATAAGTTCAACGAAAATACAAGATATAGATAAGGTCTCATTAGACCAAACAATACTGAAGTCTAGATCATAATGACTGCACTGTTAGATAATAGACTGGAGCTCTCAAAGTTGCAACATAATGGCTTCATTAAACTCACTCCCAGAGTCAGGCAGATCGGTCATTAAATCAATGCATTGTGGAGTTTCCAACACGAAACTAAGCAATTACGTATTGCATTAATTACGAATCTTTATTTACATAAATAACAACAGAAAAGTGAATAACATTGTCTGATAAATTAATATTTGTATTCAGGTTCACTAGTAAGTCGTAATCAGCATAACATTTGGTCGTACTAATTAAAATATTGTTTCTTTCGATAAATGGAAGGTGACCCCAGCTAATTCTACCTGTTTGTGAAGTCTAGGCATTCCGTGAAGGTTATTTCGGGCTGGTCGAATCGACCGTCACGTTACATCGACATTATGCCCTTGGTTAATCGCGATAAACTGGCTGAATAAAATGTTATGTGCATTGCGCATGCACGTTTGCGCAGCACGGATTTACTATAAATAAGCGCCATCTATTTTTAGTGTCGCACGTTTTCATGTAGCATTTTTATATACTTAACCTAATTCCTCTAGGTTATCCCATAGATTTTTAATCTGTGGAAGGACCCAACTTTATCCATTGAATTTGACAGAAACTGTGGCACACTTTTTTCCGTATTTCTTGTTCATGTAATCTAATATCATTTCATTTGTTAATTGTTACTCTTTAATCTATGCTTTTAAGTTTTCTAATTAAAAAAACGTAATCATTATTTGCTTAGTCCTTAGAATTCTTGCTTAACCATAGTGTTTAAGTCTAGAATCAACTGCCAAACAGCTTACGTCTCTCTAATTTTTTAAAAGACTTATCAATCATTAGAACATCTTTAGGCTTATGGAAATAAAGCAGAAAATATGTAAATTATTTGCTACCTACTAGGTACTAAGTTCACGTTTTCCTTATGTGTACTCTGAACTGCTTTTAACATCCTACATATTTTATTTATTTATTGTTGTGCTTAGTGATTGATTAATTCCACTGAAATTACCATTAAGTGGCTTACGGTCTAAAAGTAGATGTCAAGAGGTTACTAAATATAAACACTGTAGCTATCTACCAGTGAAACAATTTTCGAAATCCAACCAGCGGTTCCAAAGATTACCTCCTACATACAAACTTACAAATTATACCTCTTTATAATATTAGTAAAGATGGATTATGGGTGTAACTATGTTTCAAAGTAAATTCTTACCTGCATTATTGATTGGGTCGATTTTTTTTTATCATTCATCTATATTGGTTTTTTGCAATCAAATCGCAACCACCACACAATTATGATAATATAATTTCCAGTTTCCAACGAAAATTTTACCAGCTCTTTCAATGAGACTGGGCGAATAGAACCGAACCGAATTTGAAATTCGAAATGTCTCTAGAGAAATTTCTGGAAAATGGAATTGAATTGCGCTACGTGTCCTAGGCTGCATTTTATGGCCTTATACCACACACGCGTGCTATATAATCTGAGTACTAAAAGGGGGAGGGAGGGGGAGATTACACCCTGTATAAAATGTGGGGAAGGGAGCGCCCTGTATATAATATTTCTGCGTTGTAATTGGACGGGTAATGTTGAGGCTGGAATGTAAGATGCGTTTCATGTTTCCACACAGGTTGGTAATACAATACGTATGTAATATCAAACAATATTTCTTTTAAAGGCCTGAGTTATTTTTAGTACCTACCTACTACTAGTCTTTATCTCATCATATAATATGATTTAATTAATCCTATAATTCATCATGTCGTCATACGAGCCCGTATATACGCTTTGTGAACTTTTCCATGAG